CGCCGTGGAGGCCACACTCCCGCAGCCGGAGCCGCTGGCGGCTCCGCTCAGGCAACCGCTCATTCTGCTGCAGTCGGCGCAGGATCTGTGTGGGGTCACGGGTGGTCCTCACAGAGAAGGGCTTACAGCAGGAGGGCATGTCCCCATGCAGGCGTGCGGCTTCAGGAGAGGCCTGCTGCACCCATGTGCTCCAGAAGGCCAGGGTTGGGGATGGGCAGGGTGTACCTTGCAGACTCGGTCAGGCACCAGGGGCAGCGGCCTCGGCCGCACCAGCAGGGACAGCAGCACCTCGAGGTTCCCGGAGTCCAGCAGGAAGGTGGCCAAGGACTCATGTGCAGGGGAGCCCTGCAGCACCGCCAGCAGCAGGTCCAGCGCGCCCACCACCTGGACACAAGGTCTCAGTTGCTCTGGGCCCCCGGGTGGGCACTCTGCCTGAGCCTTGCCCTCAGCGATGCCCAGCCTACCTGGCCATCGTCACCTGCAGCCACCAGAAAGCTCAGCATGACCTGCACGACCTGCATATCATCAGCCAAGAGGCTCCGCACCAGGAACTCCCGCGCCAGGCCCAGCAGGGACGTCTGCACCGTGCGCAAATCGTCGGCCACAAGGGGGCGCTCCCTCTGCGGGCTGTGGGGCCAGCAGACAAGCATGTCCAACGAGGACCAGGGGCACAGGGGAAAGATGGGAGGTGGGTGTGTGAGCTGGGGGAGCACACCGCCGTGTACCCACTGCCTGAAGCCGCTGTGCCAGCTCCTTGCTGCCCGCCTGCCCCCGGGCCCACCTGTAGTGGGTGCGCAGAGCATCGAGGATGAACTGGAGCCCGTACTTCTTCCGCAGCTTCTGCCTGTGCTCACGGACGATGCTGGACACGTACTGGATGTGACCTGAGCAGGCACCGAGAGGGCTCAGGCCACCAGGCCCTCCAGGACAGGGCCAGCTCCCGTCAGCCTCCTGGGCCAGGGTCACGTTCCCCTACGATGCCCCAGGGGTCCCTGTCAGTCGTGTCGTCACTTCTCACAGCCCACCTGCTCTGTGGCCGGCCTGTCGTCCAGGCCCGCACCTACCGAGGCGAACAGCGAAGTCGCCGAGGGCCCAGAGGTGGAAGTGGAAGAGCAGGTGCTGGTAGAGCAGGAACTGGAGGGTCTCCGCCGTCCTCCGCGAGTTCTCTGCCGCCACCTGCTCCAGCAGCAGCTGGGCACTCATGAGCACGTTCATGTCCATGGCCCAGCCGGGCACCTGGCATGCAAGGGGAGGTGGTGAGGGCCGTGCCCCAGCACCTGCCCTCTCTGCACAGGCGGACAGACGCAGCCCTGCTGCTCAAGACCGTCCTGGTCCCGTGTCCGAAGTCCGAGCTCCCCAGCCTGCTCGCGTCCCCAGCCTCTGCCAGTGCCGCCCCTGTTCCCAGACCCTGATCCTCTCCACCAAACCCCTTCCAGGCTTTGAAGGCTGTACTCAGATGCTGCCTTCTCCAGGAGGCTGCCCCTCTCGGCTCCCTGTCCCCCACCAGTCCCCTCGGTCAGGCACCAGGATGCCTACCCGTGGCCCCACCTCCCAGCCCACCTTGCGCAGGAGAGCCCCGATGATGGCAGGCCCCTGGCACCGCACCAGGCTCTCCTGGTTCACAGCGTGGCCCTGCAGGAAGTTTCTCAGCAGCAGCAGAAAGGCAGCCACTGCGTTCCTCTCCATCCGCTCCTCTGCCGGCCACCAGGAAGGAGACAGACCCATGTCAGGGACCCGTCAGCAGCCACGAGACCTCAAGCACTCCGATCTCCCAGCGTGCCAAGATTCCCTGCCTGCAGCCCCAGTGCCCCACCTGAAGACTTGCCCAACGGGAGAAGCAGGCCCTGGGTGTTGTGGCCGGAGGTCAGTTCAGGTCCCACGAGGTCATGCGTCTCGGCCGGACCTGCCTCAGCCTCTTGGGGTTGCGTGGCCACTCGTTCCAGCAGGGGCAGCAGGACGCCCATGCCCCCCACGCAGTTCACCACATCCTGGGGTGGGCGACCGGCAGTGAGGGCAGATCCAGCCAGTTTCCTGCCCTCGCCGCCCAGCAACCGTGCAGCTAGGCGCCTGACCCAGGAGTTGAACTTGAGCACGGAGCCGCTCCCCAGCCACCCGCCTGTGCTCAGGCTCCCTGCACACTGCACACACGTGCACTCACCTTCACGTCCCAGGTCTCCACTCTGTGGCCCGTCAGGCGGCCGTCCAGCCCATGGCCGGGAGAAAGGTCCAGGCAGATGTTGTTTTTACAGGCCTGGGGCAGGAGGGAGGGGTGGCAGAGTGGAAGTGAGGGGAAGTGGCGCCATGCAGCCAACACCCCGGCCCCACCAGGAGGGGCCCTTCTGTACCTGAGGCGAGTAATGGAGGAGCAGCTTGGTGCTGAGCTCATGCAGGTCACCCTCGGGCTTGAAGGGAGCCATCTCATTGGGCCCTGGGGGTACATGGGGCTTCAGACCTCCCAGGGCCCCTGGCCAAAACCCCATCCAGGGCTGTCCCTTCCCAGACCCCTGGGGATGGCCTCTCCCTTCTCCACCCCTAGCTTCTGCCCGGCATGGGGAGGGCTGGAGGCCGTGCTGCTTACCCAGGGCACACAGGGTCCGCAGGGCTGCTGCCTGCAGGGCTTCGTGGAAGATGGCCACGGCCCCCAACTCGCCCTCCAGGGACGTGGGGCCGCCCCACCGCGTGTCCTGGGTGCCTGCCAGGGTGGAGCTGATGCTGCTCTCCTGCAGGGGGGCCCCTGGCCCGGACCCCCAGCCGAGCCCGGTGGAGGCTGGCACGGACTGGGAGCGGGTGAGGGAAGGGTGGGTGTGTGCCGGGGCGGCAGGGGCTGGGGGCGCGGGCAGCCCCGTGGTGGTGGTCGTCGTGCGGTGCCCAGCAGAGCCGATACAGCAGGAGGAGAAAGGCTGTGTCCAGGGGGCCATGTCAGGTCACAGCGAGGTGGGGCTTCCACCTACACCCAGCTCCCCACAACCCCTGGCAGCACCAAGCCGAGGCCTCTATGTGACGGGGACACAGGTCCCAGTCCCCCTGTGCAGCAGCGTCCCCACCGCCCAAGGCCGCCTCAGTCCTGCCTGCACACCTCGCCAAGGGAGGGGAAGCGAAGGGCCGCTGTCTTGACCAGGTGACCGTCTTTGTAAACATGGACCAGGTTCTGGCTGAAGGGCCGGCGCCCAGGCACGTGGACCACGGCCACGCAGTGCTGGAACCAGAGCCGCAACGTCAGGCCTCACGTGGAACGTGGCACGCTCCATCCACAGGCCACATGAGATGGGGCTCACCCAGGCGGAGTCGGCGAAGGACACTTCAGGCAAGCTCACGGTCAGGTATTCCTTCCGCGTGCACACGGCCACCACCAGCGTCCCGGCGGCCGTGAAGAAGGCCTCAAACCCTGAGCCGCTGCTGGTGAAGAAGCTGGGGGCAGGCAAGCCAGTTATGGCTGTGTGTTCCTGCCGGGCCTGGCGCAAGCCCCCAGCCCCCGGCCCCTGGCTGTCACACACCTGTACAGCTGCTTTCGCTGGAGTGGCCGGGTGGGGGCCAGGGCAGGAGCAGCATCCGCAGGATGCAGGCAGAGCCAGGCATGGAAGGTGAAGCCAGTTCCTGGCCATCGCTGCACAGGGGGGACCATGATGCCCGCCATGCTGGGCGTGAGGTCAAAGTAGCGCAGGGCACGTGCAGGACCCCGGTGCCGGGCCATGCCTGACAGCGCGCGGATGACAGCACCTGCGTGTCGCGCCTGTGCAGCCTCATCTGTGCCCGGCCCTGAGTCCAGCCCTGGCGGGGGGCGCAGCAGGCACCGCAGCTCAGATGGCCTGAGTGACACGCGGCCCAGCGCTTGCAGCAGCGCCAACAACTGCTCTTGGCAGCGGGCCCCCAGGGCCACCCCCGTGCTGAGTGTCTCCAACAAGCAGCCCACCAGGCCTGCCTGCACGCAGATGGCCCGGCTGGCAGGGCAGCTGTCGCAGAGCCACCGGAGGCGCTGAGCCAGGAAGAGGCGCAGCTGGGCGGCCACCGCAGCAGCAGCAGGACTGGCTGCTCGTGGTGGATCAGTGGAGGTGGGTGCGTGCTGTGGTCGCCCTCCGCGGCCTGTGGGTGGGCAGGGACAATTGGCCCGGTCAACAATTGGCACTGCCAACAGTGGGACTCCCACTGCAGGGGAAAGCAGCAGGCACCCCCATCCTGCTCACAGGAAAGTCAGGGCACAAGACCGTCCCTGCTGGGGACAGCCCTCCAGCACCGTCCCCCAGCCTTGGCTTCCAGCCCAGACTGGCCTCATCCCATTACCCGTCCCTAGGATGACCCAGGGTCGCTAATGTGCAGCAGCTTCCAGGGCCCCGCCAGCAACAGTGACATGATGGCCGGCTTCGGATCCCACTACGCACTGGCCAGTCACCAGAGCCCCCCCGGGCAGGAAGCGCGCAGCCGCGGTGAGCCTGGCCCAGTCCCAGCTGCCTCGACCCTGCCCTCACCATGTTGAGCAGCTCTTGCAGCAGCCGGTGGGTGGGGGGGCCATGGCTCTGCAGGACCTCATGCAGGTGAGGGTAGCCAATGCGCTCCTTAAACACCTCCTGTGGAGGGAGCGTGGTGGGGAAGAGGTGGGCCCGGAGCAAACCCACACCCCACAGAAACCAGGCTCACTTGCCTGCTCTGCCTCTGGGCCACAGCACTGCAGGGGGGCTGCAGAGGGGTCCCAGCAGGGCAGGTCCCAGGACAGATTGATGCTCACACCCGCCCCGTGTGCCAAGCTGCACGCAAGCTCTCTGACAGTGCCCTCACCTTGGCCGAGGGGGAGCCACTCATGATGCAGGTGAGTGCTCTGACCACGTGGACCGCGATGGCATCTGCGTCCTGGTCCAGGACCTTGGGGTGGGGAGGGGCAGTCAGGAGAGGCAGGGGCAGGAGGCATGGCTGGCAGCACCTTGCAGTGAGGGCTATGTGGCTGGGCGCCAGCCCTTTGCTCAGCAAGACCCACCCTGACAGAGGCCTGGGAAGAAACCGAGGGTCTCGCTGGGCAGATGGAGAGTAGCTGCTCCCGCTGTGCCTCGTGCTCAGGACTCGGCCCACCCGGCCCCGCCATCCCCAAGCTACACACACCAGGGCAGGCCGGCCAGGGGCGCCCCGTCACCCGGGATGATTGACAGGGCTCAGGAACTCAGGGACAGTCAATCACAGGACATTAGAACCAGAAGAACCTTCGAGACCTTTCTGCCCCATCCTGCCCCCGGCCCCTGGGTCCGGTGGAGATACGGAGGCTCAGCCTGGCTGGACCTGAGGCTGCTGCCTCCTCTTCTGTCCCACCCAGAGGAGTGGGAGTGGGAGGGCTCGGAGAGGTTGTCCACTAGGCCCCCTCTGCCCATTTCCTAGGCCCCCTCTGTTCATTTCCCCATGTGTCCTCAGGCAGCCTTGTTGCCGCCGCCTGGGCCTGTTTCCTCAAGCACAGAAGCAAAGGGGAGGCACCTTGCCCTGCCTGCTCAGTAGTGGCCGTGCCGGCTTCCAGGGGCTGACTGCCGTGGGCACCTGCTGCCTCCCGCAGCCCCACGTGAGACAGGGCATGTTGTGAGGGGCTGGAGGACGCCCACTGCTCAGGCTGGGTGCCAGGGTCCTTGGACAGCAGAGGCCGCCCTCCCGCGAGCGAGTACGAATCCCCGGGCACGGGTGCTGGTCTCCCTTCTGAGGATGGGGCAGGTGCTAAGAGTTTCGAAGGTTCCTTCCAGCTCAGTGCGGCCAAAGCCCAGCTCCCAGTACACTGCTAGGACGGGGTGGCCCCCACGCTGCCTCCCCAGCTCCTGCCCCTCCTCCTGCTGGAGTGCAAGACAGGCTGAGAGGGAGTGCAGAAGGTGGGCGTCGGGGAGGGGGTGTCTGACCGGTCAGCCCCAGGGTGGTACCTTCTGGACATCAGACTCGGTCAGTAACCGGGTGGCCAGGTCACTGTCCCCCTCAGGGGGCGCCCGGGCCTGCAGATATAGCTGTGGGGGAAGGGGAAGGAGGCAAGGAGGGAGGGGAGAGGACGCCGGGAGGGCGGGTTAGAGCAGGACCTGCCTGGGCTCCGCCCCACAGGCCCAAGGGGACAGAAGGGCAGCAGGGCTGCCAGGGCCTGCTCAGATGGGCAGGAGCGGGGGGTGAGTGGGTGGGTGGGGGCTAGGCTCCTCATCAGAAGGCATTTGGGGCAGGGCCACTCCCTTCCCCGCTGTGGGGCACCGGGCCAGCCCTGGAGGCCCGGGTTGAGGGACGCAATCCATGTCCATGCCCCAGGCCTCCCGCTGAAGGGCAGGCCGTCCTGCCAGCCACAGTGCCCCGCCTGGGCCAGCCTGGGTTTGCTCAGTAGCCGCTCAGTGCCTACAGGTGGTCCCCCAGCCTCTGGGTTCAGACCCGCGGCCTGGGCGCTGCTCACCTTGCTGTTCTGGACCAGGCGGGTGAGGTGCTCAAAGCAGTTGTTGCTCAGGAAGGTGGCCTGCAGCACCGGCCGGTCCTCACACGCCAGCATCATGGGGATGGCGTCTGCAGAAGGTCAAGGTCAGGCCCTGTCCCGTCCCCTCCTGTGGCCTTTGACCTTGTTCTCCACGCCGCCCAGCCTGGCTCTTCCACCTGATGGTGCCCAGGACCCATACCCACCAAGCATGCTGACCCGCAGGGCGACAAGGGCCTCTTCGGGACCTGAGCTGGGGCTGGCCGGCCAGTCGGCATTGAGGACGCGGAAGTAGCCCTCGAGCAGGGCGCGGAGCTCTGGCCCTCGTGGGGGCGCGCGGCTGGCGTGCAGGACGTGTACCGCGCCCACCAGTGCCTCTAGCGCCAGGGGCACCAGGCGGGGGTCTTGGGCTGGCCCCCGGCCCCAGCCTTGGATCACGCCCAGCAGGCCCTGCACGGAGGCGGTGGTCACGGCCGTCTGACCATTCTCCTGCGGGAGTGGCAGAGATGACCAGTGGGCAAGGGGCCCACCCAGCAGAGACCCCGACGGCCACCCTCTGCCCAGCTCCCCCCAGCGCACCTTTCCTCCTGCCAGGACAGCGCCGAACAGGTGGGTGAGACGCAGCAGCAGCATGGGGGGCAGGCGGCCTGCATCCCGCAGGCTCTCTGGGGGGCGAGGTGACAATGTCACCGAGATTGCAGGGCCCTGGGGACTATGCAAGAGGTGGGTGCCCTGGGGTGGAGGGGAGGGGAGCTAGGCCAAGGAAGAGCCCCTCCCCCTGCCTGAGGGAGAAGACCTGGCTCTGCCCTGGGAGTCTGCGGAGCCATGGCTCTATGTGGGGGTCAGAGAGGGACGCAGTCCTCCTTTGGGGGGCTCAAGAGGAACGTGGCCCTGCCCTAAGAGCCCAGACAGCCCCCAACATTTGTAAACCCCAGGTGAGTACCCCCATCCACTTCCCTGTGGTGCCCCAGGGGTAGTTTCTCGGATGCAAATCTCCTGTGCCCTCTGCCTGCTCTGTCTGGGGACCCTGCCCGTCTGCCATACTGATGTACCCTCCCCCACCCCTGCCCCTTTGGGGACTTCTAGGGACTTTCACGGCCTCGTGTGTGGGAGGCCCACCTGGCCCTGCTCCAGCAAAGCTGGATGCCAGGCCACAGACGGATAGCCAGAGAGCACAGGGACCAGCCCAGGGCCATGGGAGGAGGAAGGGTGGAAGAGCCGGGCAGCCTGGCTGGAGGGACGGGCTGGGAGGATGGGGCAGGGCTTTGGAGGTGAGGCTGAAGAGGCAGTTGGCCGGGAAGGGGAGAGGACACGGTGTGGGCCCTGAGGTGCCAGGACCAGTCCAGGAGTGTGCTGACAGAGGGGCTGGGCTGGAGAAGGCCTGTGGCGAGGGGCAGCCTGCTCTGGGGGCATCGGGCCCCACCAAGGATAACAATGAAGGGATGCAGTCCAGTGTTTTGAGAAGAGTACCTAGGCTGCGGGAGACGAGGAAGGGCGCTCCGTCCCACTCAGACCTAGGCCGCCCAGGGAGCACCCCAGGGACCGAGACGTCACGCGTGCTGTGGGCAGGCCTCCCTATGGCCCTGCCTGCCTTGTCCAGGCCCACCCGCCCTGAAGCCGTGTAGTCTGGCCAGGCTGCCTTCAGTGGAAGGAGAGAGGGTCGCCAGGGGACAGCTGGCCAGAGGCGCCCTGACGTCAGTCCTCCAGGAATGAGGGAGCGCAGTGGGGGGTGGAGGCCCCTGGGATGGCCCGGGTAGAGGCGGGCGGGGGTTGCAGAAACACAGGGGTCTGACCAGGGGCTTTTAAGGCAGTAGTGGTGGGGGTGGGGAGGACCCAGGAGAAGGGAGGGAAGTAGGATGGGGACGGTGGGCAGGTCAACCTCACCCCTCCACCTGATGGAAAGCTGTCACTCAGCCAGGGGTGAAGTGACTGGCCCTGCCCAGTCTCTCTCTCCTGTCCCTAAGGTGCTGCCTGGCCTCTGGAGGCACCCCAGCACGGGCTCTCCCGGCCTCGTGTGCAGCCACCACGAAGCCACCACTCAGGATGAGGGGACCACAGGAAGGAGCCTGGGTTTAGGGGCGGGGCTGACCTTGGAAGAAGGTGCCGAACCCGCTGGGCAGAGGCACAGGGGGGAACTTGTATCGGCTCTTCTTCCTGGAGCTGATGACTTCTCTGGGGGGTGGGGAGGGCAAGGGCCATGAGACCATGAGACGGGCTCAGCCCACCAGCCCGCACCCTCCACAGCCTGTGCAGGCCTCTCTGGGCCTTACCCACTGTGCTGGCGCCGCCAGGTCTGGTAGGGGTCAAAGAGGGTCTCGCAGAGGAGCAGCGCGTGGAGGGCCACGTTCTCCAGCTGGGTCCTCCGGCCCTCATCTGGTGGTGGGTGTCCTTTCAGCTGTGGGAGACAGTGTGGAGGGGTTAGTCCTGCCAGAGCTGCTGTCCCCTACCCCCTCCACGGGGTACAGCCCACCTCACCTCGGCCACCAGCCCGGTCAGCAGCGCCAGCACCCGGGGCACTAGCGCCTGGCCCCAGCCTGCCTCTACGTTCTCCAGGTTCCTGGGGGGCGAGTGATGGGAGAGGTCACCATGATGCCCCGCCCAATCCTCAGGCCCCGCCCACAGGGGGGACCGCCGCCCACCGGCAGACGATGATGAAGAGCTTGAGCAGCAGCAGGGCTTGCTCCAGGTCCCCCTCGGCCAGCTGCTGGGCCAGTGTGTGCAGCGTGTCCAGGGGCAGCAGCGGCACCTCCGCACCCACCTCCTCCGGCCTGCGGGAAGGGCGATCACTGGGGTGCCCCCGGCCTCCCTGCCCCGCCCACCCTCTGGCAGGTGCAGGCTCACCTCCGCGGCTCCAGGGAGGGCAGTGAGATGCTCTTCTCGAAAGCACCTACGAAGGCCTTCAGCCACTGCTGCAGGTAGCCCAGGTCCTTCTGCAGCGAAGATGGGGGGTGGATGGCGTGAGGGAAAGGGGATGCAGGCAGAGGTGAAGTGGCCAGGAGGGAAAGGCAGAGTGGTGGGTGGGAAAAGGGAGCGGGGTGCGGGCGGAGGCCGTTCAGGAAGTAGGAAGGTCAGCACAGGAGCAAAGCCAGGGCCACTCACCCACTCATCTCTGATCCCACCTCCCCAGCCCTTGGGACCCAGGAAAGCCTGACATGGCAGGGGAGGGGCTTCAGAGGGGTGTGGCCATGGCCTACACTGAGGCTGGGGCTGCAGGTCTCCAAGGCAACTGGCCCCTGCCTCAAGCTGGGCCTCATCTGCCGCCCTCTCATGGCTCAGCAGCCACCTCCAGCAGGAGACCTTCCTGGGCTGTGGGTCCCAGGACACATGTGCACCTCTGGACTGGCAGACCCAGCCATGCACCCGTGCACACGCCCACACGCACAGACCTGCATCCTGGCGGGACTTAAGCCTTGCCCCAGAACCTCCACCCGTCCTGACTGGTTACCTGGACCCAGGGCCCCAGGGCTGGCTCCATGGGCAAGAGGGACAGCAGTGGAGCCTGAGCCTGGGCGCTGCCAGGGAAACTTTAGTGTGAACGGGAAACGTCGCCTCCCGCCCTGTCGCCCCAGGCCGGGGGCAGGAAGCGCAGAGTCATGGTGGGGGAGGGAGGCCGCTTCCTCCCGGCAGACCGCAGGGATGTGGGGGGGCACCCCCAGCACCCTGGGTCTAGAGAGGCTGCGAGGGCCCTGGCCCTGTTCTGGGGGCGGGGCCTGGAGCGCAGAGGGGCGGGGCCTTTCTGCACTGGGTGGGGCTTAGGAGTGTCTGTCTTGGAGCAGGCTCTGACCCTGTGGCTGCAGTTACTGTCATCCCAGCTCAGGAACAGGCCCAAGGCCTCAGCCCAGGGACGATGTGCAGGACTCCTTCCTCCTTGCCCTGCCTGGACCCTGCAGGTGCCTGCCCAGAAACAGCTGAGGTATCCCTGCCCAACCCTGGTCCCCCGCCTCTGCCCCTCCCAGGTGTGTGGTGGGTTGTCACTGGCTGCACAGGGAGCCTTCCTTCATGCAGGCCCTGCCAGGAACTCCCAGCTGGTGAACCCAGAGGCGGAGGTGGGCGAGAATAGTCTGGAAATGACGGGACAAACACCGCCGACCTCCAGAAGCACCCCTGGATAGACAGCCAACGTCTGTTGCCTGTGGGTCCCAGTCCACAAAGCCAGGCCCAGATGGGCCCCAGGGAAGGAGGCCTGACCCCAGTAGACCTGGGCCAGGCCCCACCCCCCAGAAAACCTGGAGGGAATAGCTGTCTTCTCTGCACCCGGCACGTTCTTTTTGGGGAGATTTTTGCTATAAGGTATGTGTGGTCGCTAGAAAGAGACAGAAAGCGAGAAACCACCCTCTAGGGGGGATGGCCACGGCGCAGTCCCTTCTCCAACCTCCTCTTGGGATCTTGGGCTCACACACACAGGCACCTGGCATGAGTTTTAAGTCTCCGGGTCCAGGATTCAAACCAGTCAACTACATGGGAGTCCAAGGACATAGTCACTACGCCATCTGCTGGTCCCGCGGTTGGGCCCTTCTTTATACATTTTGTCCGTTTTTCATTTTTGCCATGGGGTGAGTGCGATCACCACAGAAAGAGAGAGGTGGGGAGAGAGAAATCAGCCCCTGGGGGCGATGGCCACGCCACAATCCCTTCTCCTCCACTCTCCTCTCGGGATTGAGGCACACATGTACATACACCCAGCATGTTTTTCAAGCTGCTGGATCCAGGACTCAAACCACACGGTTGGCCATGTGGGATCCAGCTGGCCTAACCACCACGCTACTGGAGAGTCCCTTTTTTTTTTTTTTTTTTTTTTTTTTTTTTGGAGAGGTTTTTGCTATAGGGCGCATGCATCCACCAGACAGACAGAGACAGAGAGACAGAAAGGGAGAAATCACCCCCCCAGGGGGGATGGCCACGCCACCATCCCTTCTCCTCCATTCTCCTCTCAGGATCTTGGGCACGCACGCACACGCACCCGGCATGAGTTCAAGCCACCAGGTCTGGGACTCGAACTGTGGTCGACTATGTGGGAGTCCAGCGACATAGCCATTATGCTAACTGCTGGTTCCCCTTTAAGCATTTTGACACAGATCCAAAGCCCAGGCAAGTCAGAGAGGGGCCAGAGCCCCAAGGCGTGGGCCCACACACCGTGATGCTCTGTCCAGCAGTCACCTCCACTGACCTCTCTGATCTCTGCTGCAGTTCGCCTCCCTCCCTTCCTCCCAGCAGACACCCCCAGGAGGCCGGCCTTGCAAAGGGGGAAGTTGGCTGTGCTGCACTTCCGAGGTGCTGAAGGCCAGACTTTTGTTCGAGGCCAGGACCTCTCATGGTTGCCAGCCAGCCAGCCAGCCAGGCTGAGCAGGCAACCCCTGCTCCCTATCTCAGTAGCCCCCCAGAATCTCGTGTGCCTTCAAAAAATGTCCCGGGTCAGCAGATGGTACCGTGGTAACGACACTGGACTCCCACATGGCCAATTGTGGTTTGAGTCCCAGATCCAGTGGCTTGAAAATCACGTGGGGCAAGTGTGGAGAAGGGAGCAGCCATCCCTGCTGTGGGAGATTTCTTACTTTCCCTCTCACTGTCCCTGTCTCTTTCTTGCTGCAAAATCTCTTTTAAAAAAAGTTCCAACATGGTCTTTCCCCTTCTTCCATAAACTCATCAAGTAAAAATCTATCACTCAAAATGCATGTCCTGGGGGCTAGCAGGTGGCGTGGTGGTTAAGGACGTTGGATGCCCACATGGCTGACTGCAATTCAAGTCCCGGACCTGGTGGCTTGCTTTCTCACTTTCCCTCTCTCTCTCTGGTCAAGTTAAAATAAATACATAAAGTTAAATGAAATAATTATTTTTTAAAAATGTGGGTCCTATATGCTACCTGCAGCTCAGCTGAGCACCCGAAAACCCGTTTGACCCCCCCCAACTGCCCCGCTCCAGGACAGAGGCTCACTCGCTGAGCCTGGCATTCCAGGTCCCTAGTCCAACCAAGGCCTGCTTTTCCAGCCCCTCTGCCTCTCCCCACCGTGACTCACGTCCTCTGCCCACCCTGCGCCCTAGTGCCTCTGTGACTTGGGCTTTCCGTACCAAGGCAGGAAGCTCCCAGCCTCCGCATTACCATTACCTGGATTGCCTCTACCCTCCCAGACCTGGGCGGGTCCCTCAAACCCTGCATACTCCTGCCTTCAGTCCCTAGAACCACACCCTCGGCCTGTCCAGTCCTGCAGAGTTCCAGCAGGTCCAGGTTGAGCAGGGTTCAGGACTGGGGTAATCAAGGTGGCCTTCGAAGGCTCTGGAAGGGCACGAGGGGGACCCTAAAGCACATTCCTAGGCAGGGATGGGGTGCAGCTGGTCCCGCCCCTCTGGGTCTTACCTCTTCTCCCTGGGAGGCCTCAGGCCAGCTCTGACCTGGGCCCTGTGGCTCAAGGCTGCAGAACTTGGAAGTTGGGGAGTCCCTGCGGGAGCCAGGGCCAGAAGGCCGAGGAGGGCAGGAGGCTGCGAGCATGGTGGCAGCACTGCATGAGAAGGCGCCCAGTGCCGGGCAGGGGTGGCTGGCGCGTGAGCCCGGTGCTCCACTCAGAGCTCCACTGGAGCTGCTGTGGCTGCCGGCTCCTCCCTCCCTTCCCA